TACCAGGCTGTTTAGACTACCGTGGAGGTATAATAGATTCTAAAATCAGGTAGTGTGAGGCCTCCCACTTTGTTCTTCTTCAGTAATGCTTTACTTATCCAGGGCTTCTTCCCTTTCCGTATGAAGTTGGTAATTTGTTTCTCCATCTTAAAAAATGCCATTGAAGTTTGGATCGGGATTGCATTGTATCTGTAGATCGCTTTGGGTAGAATTGACATTTTGACAATGTTGAATCTACCTATCCATGAGCAAGGTATGTTTTTCCACTTATGCAGGTCTCTTTTGGTTTCTTGTAGTTTTCATTGTATTGGTCTTTTACGTCTCTGGTTAGATTGATTCCTAAGTATTTTATCTTCTTGGGGGCTATTGTAAATGGTACTGATTTGGTGATTTCCTCTTGGACGTTCTCTTTATTGGTGTAGAGGAATCCAACTGATTTTTGTGTGTTTATCTTGTATCCTGATACTTTCTTGAAATCTTCTATTAGTTCTGGTAGTTTTCTTGTGTATTCTTTGGGGTTTTCTGTGTATAAGTTCATATCATCTGCAAATAGAGATAATTTTACTACGAATTTGGAAGCCCTTTATTTTTTTTCCAGCCTAATTACTCTGGCTAGCACCTCCAGCACAATGTTGAATAAGAGTGGTGATAAATGGCTTCCTTGTCTAGTTCCCTTTCTCAAAGTAAATGGTTTCAAACTCTCTCCATTTAGGATGATGTTGGCTGTTAGCTTTTTATAAATGCCTTTAATTATGTTGAGGATTTTCGCTTCTATTCCTATTTTGTGCTTTTACTCTTGAGTGATGCACCCAGGCGGCCACTCCTGTCAATTTTAGAGACTCGTGGGTGGTCAGAAGAACTTGGAAAGGTCCTTCCCACCTAGGAGCCAATTGATCCTCCAGGTATTGGTTTCTCTAGGTTTTCAACAGGACCCGATCTCCAGATTGAAAACTATGAAGTTGAGTGTCAGAAGGAAAAGAAAAATATGAAGAAGCATATTGATTAACAGTGTTTATAATGGTTCCCAGGGAATGGACCTAGTCTCTTTTCTCCACCTAGGTCATTACCGAGGTGGAGAAAGTCAACTTTTTCAGGAATGGCCTCCCATATATCAATTCATAAGGGCTTAATTAAGCCCGCTTGGAGGGGCTACCCGGTTTCTGAGCAAGGCAATAGGCAGAACTTGTATCCAAGTGGAGTTTGTTTCCTGGCAAAGTTTCGCCAAGGTCTTCTTCAAGGTATGATTCATTTTCTCAGTTTTTCCAGTTGATTGTGGTTTCCAAGCTGAGTGTAACTTCCAATTTATATCTACAGCCTTACTGACTTCTTGTGTAATTGTTGCAATAAAAGCTCCCCCATTATCACTTTGGACTGAGATTGGTAGACTGAAATGAGGTATGATTTCCTCGAGCAGTGCCTTGGTTACTTCCTGGGCTTGTTCGGTTCAACAAGGGGAAGGCTCTACCCACCCTGAGTAGGTGTCCAAGAAGACCAACAGTTATCTGAAGTTCCAGGATGCCCAGGCATTACCGTGAAATCCACTTGCCAGACTTCTCCCATGTTTGTCCCTCAGTGTTGGATTCCCAATTCGGTTGGGTGGGGCATAGTCTTTGGATTGTGTCTTGTACATAGGTAACACCTCTTTGTAACATCCAGGATGTTTCTTAAAAGATTTGGCCCAGTGATCACCTGTTGGATCCACTCAAGACTGGCAACTCTTCTATAGTGAGTCCCTTCATGTAGAGTTGCTACTATACTTTATACTTGAGCTTCCAGTAACAACAATTTCCCTTCATAGTTCAACAACCATCTAGAATGAGAAGTGAGATGATATCCCCATTCTTTGCCCTCTCCAGGTCCTGAGTGGTGTAGATGGGAGTGGGAAGGTTTGCAGGGTCCAGATGGGGGATTAAGGCCATCTCTGTTCCCATCCCATCTTCTCGCATTGCAGCCCTCTTTGCCTCTGCATCCACCTTCCAGTGTCCTGTTGCCTCCAGAGAGTGTCACCTTTGGTGTCTGGACAATATACCACCACTACCTGAAGAGGGTCATTAACTGCCTTCAGAAGTTCCAAGATTTCTGGTACGTGTTCTATTTCTTTGTTGGCAGATGTCAGAAGTCCTCTCTCTTTCCACAAGGAGCCATGTGAGTAAAGGACCAGATGGGCATATTTACTATCAGTATACACAGTTATGCGTCTCCCTGCCCCTAGTGGCAGGGCCTGTCTGAGCCGAAGTCCCAACAGGAAGTGGAGCTGCCTCTATAATTTCAGTTCATGTTACCACTGCATATCCTGCCCTGCAGCGTCCCTCATACAAGAAACTACTGGCATCTGTATACATTTCTATCTCTGGGTCAGTCAAAGGGACATCTGAAAGATCTGGTCTACTAGAATAAATTTCTTCAATTATTTCTGGGCAGTCATGTACAGGAGCGTCATCTGAAATAGGTAGCAGTGTGGCAGGTTTGAAGGAAGAGACAGCCTTTAAGACTATGTTTGGGTTATCTAACAAGATTGCCTGATATTTTCCCATTTGTTGTTTTGGTCGGAGTCTTCTTTAGTCTCATTTGTATTCAAAATATCATCCACATATTGCAAGACAAGACCTCTTTCTAGCCTCAATGCCCTCAAGTCTTTGGCTAGAAGTTCCCCCCAAATGGTGGGGGAGTTCTTAAATCTCTGGACCTGAACCTGCCATGTGAGATGTCTCTTAGTCTCAGTCTTAATATCAGTCCATTCAAAGGCAAACAGAAGCTGAGACTCAAGGTGTAAAGGAATGCAAAAGAAAGCATCTTTTAAATCCAGCACTGAAAACCAAGCACACTCACCGGGTATAGTAACCAAGAGAGTATATGGGTTGGGCACAAGCGGACGGCTATCCTCTACTATTCGGTTGATTTTCCTTAAGTCTTGAACAAACCGGTACTCCTTTGTTCCTGCAGAATAGGGATGTTGTATGGGGCCTGGTGAAATTTTAAAGTCCAATTTCTATGCATCGACGCACTAGTGGTGCAATCTCTTCCAAAGCCTCTTTGCAGAGGGGACATTGTCTCTGATTTATGACAGGTGCTCTAGGTTTTAAGATTGTTTTAACCGGGGTGGCTGATTTAGCTCTCCCAGGACTCTCTGATGTCCAGACCTCTGGATTTACCGCTTGTTGCGTATGAAAAGGAATGCCACTAGGTGTCGCTGTTTCCTCTTGCAACAGTGCCACCTGCAGAGCCCATGCCCTTTCAGGCCGGATTTGTATTAACATTGGGGCAGTTTAAAAGAGATTTGGGCCCCAAGTTTCAAGAAGCGGTCCCCCCCTAAAAGAGAAGCCAGACATTCAGGCATACAGAGGAACTCATAACCATTTTTTCCCAATTTCACAATTTACCGTCTGGAGAAAAGGGCAGGTGGACAGCTTCCCTGAGACCCTTATCTATCCTGTGTCTAAAATAAAACCAATGGGACTTCCTCCCACCCTTAGGGTCACCTGAGGCTCATGGTGGGAGATAGCCAGCGAGGTCTCCAGCCCTGGTCCCTGTCATTCTGAATTGTCTCCATACGAGGGCCCCTCCTGATGGACTTGGAGGGTGGTGGGTAGAGGTCGTTTTTCTCTGGCCTTGGGGAATTCCCATTTCCAGTGTCCGTGTTTTTTACAATACGTGCACTGTTCTGGACCCAAAGGTGGTCTTGTCCTACATCCTGGATCTATCCTCTTCCTGGCTCCTGGCCTTTCCTCTTGGCTTGAAGGGGCTATGGCAGAGGCCAGCAAAGCCACATTTTGTTTCATTTTTTGTTTTTCTTTTTGCTCATCACTTGGTCTCTATTATTAAAGACCTTAAAGGCGATTTCCAGCAGTTGTCTTATAGGCATTCCCAGGCCACCGTCTAACTTCTGCAACTTTTTCCAAATATCAGGGACACTCTGGGAGACCATGGTCATATTCAAGAGCTGGGAGTTATTAGGGTCTTCAGGATTTATATCAGTGTATTGATGGAACACGTCTGTCACTCTTTCTAAGAAGGTGGAGGGGTTCTCTATCTCTCCCTGAATAACTTCCCTAATCTTCTGTAGACTCTTAGGTTTGGGAGTCTTGTTCCACAAGCCAGCAGGTAAGCAATCCCTATACAATTGTAGTCTATTTTTCCCATTCTCCCAGTTCAGATCCTACCCTGGGTCTCTCTAGTGATGGCCTCTTCCCCTGGAGGCCAGTTTGAGGGATCTTGGTTGTGGAGCTTGTCAGCCTCTTTACAAGCCTGTTCTAATACCATATGATGCTCCTCTGAAGTTAGCAGTATGGTCAAGAGAGGCTGGATGTCTGCCCATGTAGGGTAATGGGTGGAGAAAATGAAAAGAACAATTCTGGGTCACTCCAATAAGGAAGATTGTGATGCTTCCAGTTACACAAGTCAGAGGTAGAGAAAGGAGTGTGCCCTAACATCATTCCTTCTCCAGCTGGAACTTCTCTTAGAGGAAATTGCCTTGCCAGAGCCCTGGCAGCGCCCTCACCAAAAACAGTACCCTGATGGGTGTGGGAAGAGGAGATCATACTTGAAGCAGTTGAATTCTCACTTTCCAGCTTTATCTCTCTGCCAGCCTCCTCCACTCCCTCTGTACTAGAATCAGGCTGCATCTCTCTCCTTCCTGACCTCTCGGCTGTGACTGTGCCTTCCCCATATGGGGGAGGGAGGCCAAAGCAAGTACCCGGACTAATACTTCCAAAGGGGAGTGCTTTGTTGAGGATTCACAGAGCACCTTTGCCTTTGGTTTTCCCTGAAAAAGAACTTGGTTAAAAGGGTTTATAGTCTGGTAAAGGGACATGAAAGCTTGGACATAGGGGATCTTGTCCCATTTCTTTTCTCTCCTACAAAGCAAATCAAGCTGCAGAATTGTATTGTAAGCCATAGACCCATGTTCTGGCCAATTTTCCTCGTCTCCTAATTGATACTGGGGCCAAACATTATTGCATAAAAATATCAATTTTTTCTTGGTCATAGGTTCATAACTGTACCTTTTCCAGTTTGCTAGAATACAACCCAAGGGGGATTCAGCAGGGATAGATGAGGTCCCCCCCCCACCCACAGCAGGTGCTTTCTCCTTGGTGGATATTAATAGGCAAACTCCTTTCTTCTGAGCACAATGATGATTTATTATATGATCTACCTGAAAATCCACCTCCTTTCTAATTATGCTCAATTTGGTCAAAATTCCTCAAATTCTTATTCTGGGCCCCCAACCTCCCTAGAGGCATCCGTCTAGAATGACTTGAGCATGACAAACTTCTGACCGAAGAAACCAGTCATCCCACCTAAAAAAAAGAGACCAGAAATATCCACGAATCTGATGACTGATATGTCCACGAAGATGGTGTGAGCTCTCTGAGGCTTCACAAGGACAGACACACATACACACAAACAGTAAGCAAACACAAACCGTAGTGGATTTTTCAATGCCACACTCAGACAGCCCTACACTCAAAGCAGTTCTGGTGGCTTCAACCTTTCAGACAACCCTCTCGGATGACAGAGGTGATCTTAGCGACTCCATTCATACACCTTATCCTGAAACCTGAAATCTGAAACCAAGACTCCAGAGCCACCACAAGTCCCTTTACACCATCTTATTCAAGGGTTCAATCATCTGAGAAGCCACTCACCTCAAAAACCAAGGGCTCAGGTCCTGCTCCAGAAACCTTGGGCCTGTCCTTTCAGCCCTGGCCCTGAGTGAAACAGGGAGAGGAGCTGGAGACTCACCTCTTTGGGATCCCTCCTATGCCAGTCTTGCTTCCTTTTCATCCACCTCTTTCTGGTGTGGATGCGGACTGGTGGTGCCATGGCTGGCCCCGGTCCTGCCGACAGTCTCCCCAGAGGCAAATGAAACCTCTTGCAGCTGCTTGTTGGGAAAGTGGTCAATCAGTCCCGTGCCCCACCCTGGGGCCACATCGTATCAAGCAGCTGGACACCCCACATTGGGTGTCAAATTTGTTACCGCAAAACATGGATCTGAGCTGCCTGCCTCCAAAGCCAATACTGAGACAAGGGTGAGGTGAGCAGCAAGAGGGTTTTATTGTATATCAATATACAGGAGATAGAGGTGAATAAGCTCCTCCAAAAGACCTGTCTCCTGGAACTGGAGACTGGCTGAAGGTTTTATATGGACAGGATTATTGTTTCTCTTCTTGGTAGTCATGACTGGCAAGTCTCAGATGTGTTAACCTCTTACTGGCAATCCTTGAGGGTTATTGGGTGCTGTTAGTCAAGACTGTCACATCGCCAGTGAGTTAATTCTTTTACTGGCAGTCCTTGAGGGTTATCAATTTGTTTTGCCACCCTCCAAGGAGAAAGTTTAGTCAATCTTACTGGAATAGGAGGAGAGAGAAAGAAGAAAAAATATGAGGAAAAGTGGGGGCTAGTAATGGTGGGAATCATTATACAGCAATGGTGGTAATTGATTTTATGCAACCTATTCCAAACCCACCAGCCACTCCACAGAAGAATGATGTGGCAGTCTGCTTTCATAAAGATGAAAGCCTTGGAAAACCTATGAGGCAGTTCTACTCTGTCTTATAGGGTCCTATGAGTCAGAATCAACTCCATGGCAATGGGTTTTGTTTCTGGATCCACTCCCAAAAGGTTCATGGGTGACAAAAATGTTTAAGCACTCAACTACTAACAAAAAGATTGGAGGTTGAACCCACCCAGAGGAGCTCTGGAAGAAAGGCCTGGTGACCTCCTTCTGAAGGTTCACAGCCTTTGAAAACCGGATACAGCACAGTTCTCTGCCACACGTGAGGCTGCCATGAGTGGGAAATAGACTGGACAGCAACTAACAACCACAAGTATACTCGCTTGCTCGTGGATTGCTTTCTCCCCCCTTTGAGAGTAGACTGGGAAACTGCCAAGGGGAGACTTCAGTCTTGCTGTGCACAGCCCTCCCCCTCCCCTCGCCATGCTCACCCACAGCTCTTCCAGCAGGGCCATGGCCTTATGTTCACTCCTGGGCTGATGGCCTCGCACCCAGGCCTGGGCACCAGAGGGCAGGGCACACAAGAACAACTCCAGCACCAGCAGCTCTAGCATCTGCTCCTTGGTGTGCACCTTGGGATGCAGCCAGGAGCAGCACAGGGTGCGCAGCAAGCCAAGTGCCTCCCCCCGGCCAGATGCATTGACAAGGTGGAAGTGGTCAAAGCAGCACAAAGGGGAGTTCAGTGCTAGGCCCTCAGCGTTGGCCAATTCCTCCTGCTTCACCGACAGGGAGTCAGGACCCGCTGTCCGGATGGGATCTCCATGGAGGCTGGTGTATTGGCCCATGAGCCCAAGCAAGCTGGAACACGGATAGGGGTTGGACAGTGGCACCTATGAGGGGAAAGGTCAGTGTGGTCCTTCTAGAAACAACCACTGCTGCTTACTGTGGAAGAGAGAGGGGGGTGGTGGTTAAGGGTCAGGATCTGGAGCCAGACTAAAAACATCTGGCAGGGCTAATTTACTGATGTTAAAATTCTCACATATTCACTCACAGATGTTCAATGTTATGATTTAATCTTCAAAACACCACTGTATAGCAGGCTGTGGCAATAATGAAAACTGAAAAGAAGAAGAGATACATATTAGACTTAGGTCAGAACCAGCTTAGGACAGAGACATTAGAATGGAACACTATTGTAAGTTGGGGGTTACCTGTATTGTGTGTGTGCATGTAAAAAAAAATTGCCATCAAGTTGATTCCGACTCTTAGCAACTCTCATGGATTGAATTGTGTCCCCCCAAAATATCTGTCAACTTGACTAGCTCATGATTCTAAGTATTATATGATTGTCTACCATTTTCTAATCTGAAGTGATTTCCCTAGTGTTGTACATCCTATCACCATGATGTAATAAGATGGATTAGTAACAATTATATTGATGAGGTCTACAAGATTAGATAGTGTCTTAAGCCAATCTCTTTTGAGATATAAAAGACAGAAGCAAGCAGAGAGACATGGGGACCTCATACCACCAAGAAAGCAGTGCCAGGAGCAGAGCACGTCCTCTGGACTTGAGGTTCTTACGCTGAGATGCTCCCAGACCAAGGGAAGACTGATGCATCACAAGGATCTTCCTCCAGAATTGACAGAGAGAGAAAGCCTTCCCCTGGAGCCAGCACCTGAATTTGGACTTCTAGCCTACTGGACTGTGAGCGAATAAACTTCTCTTTGTTAAAGCCATCCACTTGTGGTATTTCTGTTACAGCAGCACTGGATGACTAAGACAGTGACCCTATAGGACAGAGTAGAACTGCCCCATAGAGTTTCCAAGGAGTGCCTGGTGGATTAGAACTGCCGACTTTTTGGTTAGCAGTCTTAGCTCTTAACCACTACACACACCAGGGTTTCCATATCTATCTATCTATCTATCATCTATCTATCTATCTATCTATCTATCTATCTATCTATCTATCTATCTATCATCTATCTATCTATCTATCTATCTATCTATCATCTATCTAATCTATCTACCATCTGTCTTATCTATCTATCATTAATCTATTCTATCATCTATCTAATCTAATCTATCTATCTATCTATCTATCTAACCTATCTAATCTGTCTGTCTGTCTGTCTGCCTGCCTGTCTACCTGCCTGTGTATCTACCTATCTAAACCAAAAACCAAACTCATTGTTGTCAAGTGGATTCTGACTCATAGCGATCCTATAGATAGGTAATTAGATAGATGATAGTGTGTACGTATATACATAGTGTACATACATACACAACCGTACCAAAACCTGTTACCTTCAAGTCAATTCTAACTCAGAGCGACATACATAGTGTATAGAAATATATATATTGTATAAAACCAAACCAAATCCATTGCTGTCAAGTCAATTCCAACTCATAATGTCCCTATAGGACAGAATAGAACTGTCCCATAGGGTTTCCAAGGCTGTAAATCTTTATGGAAGCAGACTACCACATCTTTCTCCTGAGAAGCGGCTGGTGGATTTGAACCACTGACTTTTCAGTTAGCAGCTGAGAGATTTAACCACTGTGCCACTCCATTACCCATTGCCTTTCAGGTAAGTCCAACTCATAGCGACCCTATGGGACAGAGTAGAACTTCCTCTTAGGGTTTCCAAGGAGTGCCTGGTGGATTTGAACTGCCGACTTTTTGGTTAATAGCCATAACTCTGAACCACTTCGCCACCAGAGCTCCATATATATATATATGCCAAGAGGATGCAAACAGTTTTTGCCCAACTATTAGCCTATATGTTGGTGATTCAAACCCATCCAGTGGCACCTCAGAAGAAAGGCCTGGTGGTCTGCTTCTGTAGACATCACAGACAAGAAAACCCCATGGGGTTGCCGTGAGTCACAGTCAAATAGACAGCAATAAGTTTGATTTTCTTTTGGGGGGAGAGGATATATATGTATATACATATATTCTCTTACTTGTTTGGATTATGCTAAAGGAAAGGCTTGGAAGGCTCACTCACTTTCCAGATTAGGACGGGTTTAGATGTGCAGGTGAGGCATAAACTTGGACAGCAAACTGATCAGTATAAACATGGGAAAGAATGTGAAATGTGGGGCAGGAGGGGACCAGGGACAGAGCAGAGAGTGACTACGGGCGGGGTGGGGGGCACTGCGTGAATAGAGGGAGGGGGAAGAACTGAGAGTTCTGATGGGCAGAGCAGCCTAGAAGGGGCTTTGGGAGAAGAACAATTACTGTAAGAGTTTATTTTCTTCCACGGTGCCCTGCCATCTCTTGCATGTGTCATCTTATGGTGTCTTTAACAAAGGCCACACAGTTCACTGAGGGTTTTTTATTTCCTAAACTGGATTCCCCAGGAGATAATGAGGGGAGACTGAGTTCTGTGATGGGGCTGATAGGAGGCACAGATAGATTTTGCAGGGAAGTATAAATTGTGTAAAATGGGGTCCTGAGAGTGTCAAACCCTGGGAATTAGAAGAAAATCCTGAGAAAACTTCAAACTTCCAAGGCCTTGGAAAAATTATGGGGGTCAAAACCAAGTTTTCTAAAGAGATGAAGATAGACATAGCTGATGTTTGGTTATGAGTAGAATAATATACCTGGAATAACTAGTTATTCCAAAGGATATTTAAGATGGGATGAGATGATGGAGGTGGAAATAGAGAGGCCCAGAGAAGAGTGGAGGATCAAGGTGGGCCAGGATGGGTGGTAGTATAGGTTGGATTAGAAGATTCATCTCCTTTTTGCTTTTTTTTTTTTTTTTTTTTAAATCCAGACAGACTCATGTCCCTCACATCTCAGACTTCAGTATTTCCTGTTCCTTCATGGGAGCCCCTATCGATCTCCAGGATCCTGGACAAGAAAGAGCCTCTCCGAACGCTTCTGTGGTCTCTTTGGAGATACTTACTAGAAACTTGTAATTGGTTTTGGTAATTAGCAACTGGGGCAACATTTTCCAGAGATGTCAGCTCCCCAAGCTGCACTGTCAATGCCACTGAAGGTGAAATGATAATTTCAGTTCTATGGGGAGGAGAGGACACAGAATCAAATACCAGAACCTCAGCGTCTGGCTGCCTCCCTCAGACACTTGCCCTGGATATCATGACCGTCACACTGAGCCCACATTCTTGGCAGCAGGAAAGAGTTGGGTGAGTGTCTTTTATTTCTGTCTGAGAGGCAGAGTCTGTAAGGGAAAGAGGTGTATCAGGGTCTGAGTAAAAGGTCATATTGCAAAAAGGGGATCTTCTGGGTTTGAAAATGGTCCAGTGTCACAGAGGAAGCAGGACTGAGTCCTGATCTTGATCTGAATGCGAACTGAGAAATGGGGCCACGGACCCTACCCAAATCCCTGATGGCACCTAGTGTCATCCTGAAGAATAGTGTTTTTTTGGTGTTTAATTGTAGTGATCATGAAACCAGATTTTGAAAATGCTCAAAGGCTGCAGTTCTGAATCAACTTGCTGTTCAGCCTACTGTACAGGAAACATAAGCATTGTCAGGATTACTAAAGATGTGCCTGTAATACCTCCATATTTGTAATACAGAGCAGGACGATTCTACATGAGTCATCAAATCCTGTGCAGAAATAGTGTATCTCAATGGTTGTTGGTAGAATCGAAATGTTTTCTGTAATTCTGTTCTTTGAAGCGTTAATACCAATTGCTGTTGAGTGGATTGAGACTCATAGCTACCCTTTAGGACAGAGTAGAATACCCCATAGGGTTGCCTAGGAGTGGCTGGTGGAATTAAAGTACTGACCTTTTGGTTAGCAGCCAAGCTCTTAACCACTTCGCCACAAGGGCTCCATGGTGCGTTAATGGGAGACAGTCACTGTGTCTCTCCTGGAAACATCCATGGTCTGTTGATTATGGGGAGAGTATTTTCCCTCTAGAAGTTAAGGAAGCAGCATTTAAGGAAAAGATAACCTGATAGTAATGGGTTCCACACAGTAGCTGTCCAGCTCAAATGTATCTTGTACTATTATATCTGGTTGAAAAGTATTCTAATATCAAACAAAAAATCAACCATTTCTAACATTCACAGAATGGTATGCCTTACGGATTTCCTTTTCCACATATATCTTATGTCAATAACCTTCACAGATCTCATCTCACTGCTAATACTTTTACTTATATATTCATTAACTGACGAGTATATGAAATGAAAATAGCAATTTAGTTTCTACTGTCCTCTATTTTACCACTTATTAGTGTTTCATGTCTCATAGTTTAAGGCATGATAGGAGGTTGTTCACTAATTTCTGTGATAGGTGCCGTTGTATTTTGCTCCTGGCGTAGAAACAAATGCAACATTTTGTTGTCATCCAACCTGCTCACGAGGTGGGTTCCTCGAGTATTCTACTATAGTCAGTGAATTTATATTTCTTGAAAATCTTTATAGCTTTATTCATAACTGATATTGGCTTATTGAATAAATTTTTACACGACAATGGAAACTCGTTACAACCAACATTATAAAATATCACCAGTGTAAATTACAATGACAAAGTGCCAAGGCAAACTAAATACAGAGGTGGATTACTGGAAGAACACAGCTAACTAGCTTGATGGGGTGTGAGGAATCATTTTTTATGGCCTTTCTCACCATGCTCTTGCAACTGCAGCAGTGATTGCATATGACTATGCAATTAGGTGATTTTGTCCCACCAAAGGATTGGAGAGCCTGTTTCTATTGCAAATAAGATACATCAAACCTTGTGGAGGTGGCTAATGCAAATAAGGTGTATGGAACACTTTTAGGGTATTGGTCAGTTTTGCCAACCTGCTAGGTTTAAAGGGAGCCAATTCCAGAGGCTAGCAAGGACCTCACTACCATCCAAGAAGAAGAAGCAGGAGTGAGGCCCCTCTTTTGGACCAGAGTCCCTGCACTTACAACCTACTGCAACAAGGAAACAGAGAGATTTGTACAGTGAATTTGGCTAGGAGCAGAAGCAAGCACAACAGCATCCAAGGGCAGAGAAATAACAGCAACTGAATGAGGAGACTGAGGTAATACAGCTGCATTGGGCTTCCTGGCCTAGCCAGCAGGGCTGCTAGAGAGAGCATTCAGCCTACAGAGCGAGAGAGCTGAGCGTCTTCCGGCAAGAGTCTTCCAGGTAGAGTAGGGTGCCTCCAGGCACTTAACAGAAGAACTAAAAGAGGTTTATAACACTTGTCTGAGCAAGGCAGAGGCCAGGCAGAGGGCTGAGGGCCAACGAGCTACAGGAACCGTCCTGAGGGGCTGAGAGGAGGCCTGCATGGCCAAGAGTTGCTGAGAGAGTTGTCCTGCACTGAAGAAGGGAGACTTTGCCTACAGGCTTCCTGATCCTGACCCTGAGTGGTAGGTCACCTGTTACTTTCCTAGTAAAGTCCATGAATGTAAAAATGGTCTGTGATTCTGTGTGGTCATTTCCGAGAATGATCAAACCCAGCAGAGAAGTAGAGAGTGCCGTGAGAGGGATGCCTGGTGTCAGAAATGGTAAAAAGGTTGGGGAGAGGAAGTATGTCTGAACTACACCTCATAGGAATCAGCCTTCAGCTGATGCTCATGGTGATTCTCCTCCTAGTGTAGTTAGAGGAGGTGAGACACTCCACCACCAAGCCTTTCTTCACACTTGGTTAGTATGGCATGGTGGATAAATGCACTGTCTTTTCAAGCAGCTCTGCCAGGTTCAAATCCCCACTCTGTATCTAACCAGCATGTGAATTTAGACAAATCACTTAACCACTTATTGCTTAAGTTCTCATTTTCTTTATAATTACAGTAATAGTAGTGCCTGCCTCATAGATTGGTGAAGAATAAAGAAGTTACCACATGCATGGTCTTCATAGCATACATTCCAAGTGCTCTTAAAGGTTATACATTCAACTCTTGGAAACCTTTTAATGAAAGAGGTGTAAGTCAACATTTCCAACTAGGAATTAACAGTGGTTGGATAATAGTGGATTTCAGTGAATGTAATACCTGTCGCCCATGTCTCATCTCCCATGTAGGATCCTCTGGCTCTGAAGACAAACATCAGTTACTGGTAACTGAGAGAATGTCCTCCAGGGATTTGACATTTGGAATGATTTTCTTATTACAGACTACAGTTGGTGTCCTGGGAAACTCTTGTCTTCTAGTATATCTTCCTTTACTTCACTGGATACAAATCAAGGTCCACAGACTTGATTGTCCTGCACCTAACTGTAGCCGACTCCATTGTCCTTCTGGCTAGAGGAATCCCCCAAACTATGGCAGCTTTTGGGTGGAAAAAATTCTTCAACGATTTTCAATGCAATTTTTTTTTCTATGTTCACAGAGTGGGCAGGACTGTGTCCATTGGTAGTACCTGTCTCTTGAGTATCTTCCAGGCCATCACCATCAGTCCCAGGAACTCCAGGTGGGCAGAGGTTAAGGAGAAAGCTCCCAAGTACATTGGCTTCTCCAATATCCTCTGCTGGATCCTGCACATGCTGGTAAATATCATTATTCCCATGTATGTGACTAGCAATTTTCGCCATGAAAGTTTCACGAACAGAAACGACTACGGATACTGTTCTTCTGTGTTTCATGACAAAACCACATTCCCACTGTTTGCAGCATTGTTGTCATTTGCTGACATTGTGTCTTTGGGACTCATGCTCTGGTTCAGCAGCTCTGCGGTTTTCGTCCTGTACAGACACAAGCAGCGGGTCCAGCACATTCATAGGAACAACGTCTCCCCCAGATCCTCCCCTGAGACCAGAGCCACCCAAACCATCGTTGTCCTAGTGAGCACCTTTGTATCTTTTTCCACTCTCTCCTCCATCTTTCAAGTTTTTATGGCTGTTGGTAATCATTCTATTTGGTTGCTGGTGAACACGGGTGTGCGAACTGCTGCATGTTTTCCAACTGTCAGCCCCTTTGTCCTCATGAGCAGTGACTCCTGTGTCTCCAGGCTGTGCTTTGCCTGGATAAGGAAGACAAAATCTCCTCATCTTGTCAGAAACACCTAACTGGATGTTTTTGCACAAGGTTCAATTGTTTGTTCATCACACAGAATCCAAGCACATATGAAACAACCATACTGCAAGAGAGCAGTGGTACACACGCACGTAGACATTTGAATATATATAAATGTGTGTGTTGTGCGTGTGTGTATTTGGGTGTGTATGCCTATTGGCCAGATGATATTTCTAATTAATCAAGCAATAACATGGAACATTGCCTGGTTAAAAATCAAAAAGTGTACTAATTACAAAAATAATAAACTGCTTTATCCCTATAGTCTACTTTATCTGACATTTACATGGCCATGCTAGCTGATCGGTTGGCAATGGGATGACATATATGAAACCTTGAAAAAAAAATTGCCAGTCAGGAATAATATAACCTGCAAAACTCTTGTTCAAATGTGGTGGTGAAATTAGGACAGTCCAGATAAACAGAAATTAAGGTAATATGTAAAAAACAAACCAAACTTCCAAGAATTATTAAAGGGAGTCCTTCAATATGAGAACAAACAACTTGAGCTCACAGGCTGAATCTAGGATGCAGGATTGTACCAGCCAGATACCAGTCTAGGAAATGAACTCTCAAGGACTATCCAAAACCAAAAGAAATACAACAGGGAATCAGAGCAGTTAATCTGTAAATGACAACAACA